CAGATCCCTTAAGTTAATTTTAAGTTTAGCTTTAGTCCCTTAATAAACACACACGCGCGCGCACAGAGACACACACACACACACACACACACACACACACATATATATATATATATATATATATATATATATATATATATATATATATATATATATATATATATATATATATATATATATATATATATATATATATATATATATATATATATATATATATATATATATATATATATATATATATATATATATATATTAAAAATTGTTTTTAAAAATAAATACACAAACAAAAAGATAAAATATTGCACCAATCTAATCCTTAGATATTTGGCATAATTAGTTATCAGATCCCTTAAGTTAATTTTAAGTTTCCCTTTAGTCCCTTAATAAAAAAATGTTATAGTTTGGTCCCTTAACATTAGTTCTGTTAGCATTATTGGTTCATTATGTTAGTTCATTATGTTAGTTAAGCTGATAAAATGTTAAGAGTTGCCAACGTAGCGTGCCAACTAGGTAATGCACAATAGAATGACTTAGCAAAAGGATTAAAAAAACATCATTTAAGGGTTTCACTTGTATCAAACTAGCTTATTATTTCTTTCTTGATATTCAAACGTGTTTCCATAAAGTTTTGTTGTGCTTTGATTCAATCATGCTTGTTTTGAACTTTCTTTTCATCTCTCTAGATCTTAAAGTTGCGTTTCTAGAATTTTTAATCTTCTCCTATGTCAAAGGTTTCAAGCATTGCTTCCTTTGAAACAGTTAAATCGGTTAGTCGTAGAAATAAGAGGGAGTGTTATTGCCAAGATGAATGTGTCCTTCATACTATGGGTGACATGAACAGTGTAAATTTTGGGGTAGTAGAAATTACATAATTCATATGAATAAGGGTTGTAATTTCTTCAAATGGTTAGATGACGAAATTGTTAATGAAAGGGATTTGAAGATTCAAAGGCAAAAGAAGAAAATTTACAAATTAAAAAATCAGGTTATCCACACTAGAGGATAGTTGAAAATGTCCATTGTGGTTAGGATTTTGAGCTTAGTGTTGAATGTTGTTTTTCTAACAATGTATTTTTAGGTTGGGAATTTATCTGTCATGAGTGTATTGTATGTGTCATTAGTTTATGTATTTTATGTGTCATGGATTTACAAATGTACTTTTGTGTAATTAGTTTATGATTGAAATGTATCTGTCATGATGTTATGAGTTTATGAGTTTATTTTGTATTTGCAATTTGTGTCCCATGAACATATCAGAACACCTTTTGTTGATCACTTATAAATGTATAAGTCTTGCATAATCTGCACCTCCTAAATCAGATGTCAATAGCTCCAAAAACCAACTCCATGAATCTTTGGATTCACCCTCAACAACAGCAAATGCTATTGGCAGCATTTGGTCATTTGAATCACTCCCAATGGCTGCAAGTATCTGCCCACCATAATAGTCCTTTAAAAAGCACCTATTCAATTGTATGATAGGTCTGCACTTGAAAAAATTATCTTTGCAAGCTTTGAAGCATATATAAATCCTTTGAAAATGTGGATTCAAAGACCTCTCATAATTCTCACTACTTTCCTCTCCATCTTGAGTTGGTTGACTTGTAATTTTTGGACTTGGTCCAGGGTTTGCCCTTAATAGCTCATGACCATAATCATGGATTCTTGTATATTGCTCCCTAAATGAACCATCAACGATGTCAACAACAAGTGACTTTGTTCTGAATACAAGTGTCTTATTGATCCCTACATTTCACTTTTGTTTTGTTTTCTCCATTATATCAATCAACTTCAAATTAGGAATCTCTCTTACATTAGTTTGAATTTTTTTCCCAACCATTTGGAATAAGGAATCTAGCCTTATAATCTCTACTACATGTGTACTTGTCCACTGTATTTCTCAACTGCCAAGTGTCTTCATCTTGTAATTTTGCACAATATGACTCTCATGGACAACCTTTCTTACATATCACTTCCATCCTCTTATTATCACTTTTCTTAAATTTCAGGTTTCACCATAATCAATAACACATGTTCTAATTGCCTTTTTAAAGTCTTTCTTAGTAGCAAAATGAGTTCCTCATTCTCACTTATAATCCTCCATTCTTTTTAGAAGCTTGAATTTTTTAAAATCATATTTTAAAATCTCTTTATCTTCATTATCATACTCTTGAGGTAACTCATCACTACCATATTCCTCAATATCACTCAAACCTCTAAAGTTTTCCTTTAGAACCTCACATTCATTCACATCATCAATTGAACCACTACCTTCAACATATTCTTTCACCTCCCTTTGTTTCATTGGTCTCCCAACCTTGGCTTTCCACTTACATTTACCTTTTCCTTTTCCCTTCTCATTTCCTTTACATTTTCCCTTCCTCTTTCCTTTACCTTTTCCTTTGCCCTTCCTCTTTCCTTTTTCATCCTCATTATCAACTGAAATTTCTTCACGACTTCCTATAGCATCCTCATCTAAATCTTCAAAGTTCACATTCAAAGCACTATCATCTTCACTACCACCACCATTTTTTTTGTTACATTCCATTCCCTCATCTTCTTCTTGGTTACAAATTAGTCCCTCGGCTACGGAATCCTTTTGAACACGTACTAGATAAGGTGTGTCATCCAATACATCAACTTATTGATCACATACCATATAATCAGTGGTCCCCACTAAAGTAATATCCATTATTGCATCCTCGGACACAATGACCCCCTCCAAATTAACGTTCTGACATGAATCTTTTTAGTCAATGCCCTCAGTGGTACAATCCAAATTAACATCCTCACATGAAGATTCTTGGTCAACTACATGTGTATCTTCTACACCAGTGGTCCCTCCTTCACTAAACTTGTCACCTAGATTATTCAAATCTTCAAAAGTATCTAAATCATCAAAAGTTTTTTCTACACCATTGTTCAAATCATCCAAAGTGTCATCTTCTAAACTATTCAGAGTACACAAATCTTCAAAAGTATCTTTTACACCATTATTCAAATCATTCAAATTGTCTTCTTCTACACCATTGGGTCCTACATTATTTTCTAAAGAGAGTATTGACTTTTTTCCATAAATTGAATGCATGACATATAAATGCACATTCCCAGCTATGATTTTCATTATTCTATTTTTTCCTGCATCATCTTTCAACAAAACTAGCTCATTAATATCCATTGCATCATAATACCACAAACTCTCCACTTTTGGGTACCCTAAATCCTTTAAATCATCCAGAACCTCAAAATAACTCCAAAAATCGGGGTGAACTTCTCAAACCTCCTCTAACCCCTCGTAACTTAATCTGTTAAACTCAACAAACATACTCTCATGATGGATAACACACTGAAACCTATCACTTATGACCTAATTACACCAAATAATGCAGAAATGAGTCTTTGAAGAAGGAGAAAATGATAAAGATTTGGTTTTTAATATAGAAAACACATAACCGTATCTTAGATTGGAAATGAACAATGGTGAAAACATTTATATATTGTCTTCTTCGTCGCTCGTTGTCTTCGTCGCTCCAAATCTTCTTCTTCGCGGCTAGGGTTTTAAAGTATGAGTAGAACAATGAGCTAGGGTTCGAAACTGAAGAGTTTAGAGAGACAAGTCTGTTTTTATTGGTAGGTGAAAAGTTCAGAAATGATGTTTTTAAAGTTGAAAATGATATTTCATAATTTAAATTAAAATAATAATTATAAAAACAAAAACAACATGGCATGTCAATATTTTCAATATGCTACATAGGTGTTTTTTTAACGTTTTTCTTATATAATTTAAAAGAAGGGACTTGTTAAATTAGCATAAGTGTTTAAAAAACTAAATAAAAACAATAAATTAAATTAAAAGATGAAATGATGAATTAAGTCTAAATATTTTCAGAGTTATCCTTTTTCAAAACACAGTAATAATGAACAGCTGCAATATTTTTTATGCTAAGAAACATAAACGAGAGGTAGGAAGTTATAATGAACTGCTCCTTCAACCCCGTTCAATTTCATTGAACTGCAACATATACCAACATATACATGCTAAAATGCAGTTAGCAAGACGAAACTTCATGGCTATGGACACTCAAAAAAATCAAACTGAAGTCATTTATTCAGATATTTATAGTTCAGAATAGAACAATTATTATACGTTATTAATGAGAAAAACAAAGAACATAATGTAATAACAAGAAGACAAGGAAAGGTGAGGTGGATAGCTAGCAGAATTAACGTGGTTTAGTACAGTGTTATTCATGAAAATCAGAAAAAGTCTGCATGTCTGATCTGCAACACTGTGAAGGCACAGTACTTGTAAACAGTCTGCGAGTTTGCCGCGTGAAGTAACCATTCATAATCCTAGCTGATTCATTGTTACTGTTTTCTGATTATTACTGTTACTCTTTCGCTTTTTCATTTCACACACATACGGTAACGGGATTATACAGTAAGTAATCATCTTGAACGAAAATACCAGAAATAAACTAGAGTGTAACTAAGTTTGATTCATCATGAATGAACAAACAGTCATTGAATTTTGAGTAGCGTACGCACAAGTGTGTGTCTAGAATGCTGAGACAGTACTCTAATGGAGACATTAATTAATAGCGGTGATAAGGAGAAAAAACAGGAAAATAACAGATGTGAATGATCACAAACAAAGTACTACTTGAAACATTTTTGTCTTTGCATGTCATGTACCTTGTGTTGTCTTCAATTCGAATTATTTTGGAATTTATTATTCTATGTGCTCATCTCCATATTCACTTTCATACTCTACTCAAATGAAATGAAGAGATTAAAAATTAATTGTGAAAAGTGAAAAGTATGAACTATGGAGTAAGAACCCTAGCTAGCTAGATCTCCATTAAATAAATAAAATTTTACATTACAAATTAAGTTGTTCCCTTTCTACGATGTCCCACAGTTGTCCTATTGACACTGAAATCCATAATTAATTAATGTTCTCAAAATTACAGAAAGATAGAGAAAAAGGAACAAAATTAGGGTTTCTTACCAAGAGTGTGCTTGTTATTGTGCATCCAAACCTTAAGCACATTTCTCTTGATGTAATTCTCAGCACAGAATTGTTCAATTGCACCTTCATCTTCTTTCTGGATTCTCCACCCAATTCCCTCTGCAAATGCAAGCATCTTATCTTTCTGCTCCTGTGTGAACTTCGTCCTAAACCTTTTCTTCGTTCCACTCCCGCCGCCACTGCTGCTCGGAATTGACACGTCGTCGTCTTCTCTACTGAAGCCTCCACTGGATGCGACAGGTGGAAGAGCTAACGGACGGTGATGTGAAACCGGCGGTGGAGTTAATAATTGGTGGTATCCTGGTGGAGGAGGTAGCGCTGCACGGTGGTAGTAGGGGGATAACTGATGGTGGTGGTACTGAGTCTGAGAGTGAGACCGCGGTGGATGATTATGGGAAATGACCTCGCCGTCGATCTCTTTGCGGTGGAAGTTACGGTGACAGTTACAAGCAGCGCAAATTACGGCTTCCAGTGTTCCTTCTTCACCTGCAGCTAAAAACTCGCAACAACCGTCAACAGCGTGACCGCCGATACTCACTGCGTGATTCTTTTGACATTCTCTGTATCTCACCGTCCCCTTGGCCCCACTTTTAACACCACCGCCAGTAGGAATGACTGCTGCTCCATCGGTTTCCATAATTCCGCCGCTCATTTTGGACCGTACGCCGGAGTTTCCAAGCGAGTCGTAACCTGCAACCGGCGTAACCGGAAATCCCATTTCTTCTTCCTCCTCCTCCTCCTGATCTTCTTCGTGTTCGTCAAATTCCATTTCGCTTTCTTTCACCTTAATAAAATCAAGTAATTATTAAATAAAGTTAGTAAAAAATATAAAAAATATAAAAAATTAACAAATTTCCTATTTTATTAAGATTTGGAGTAGGTGAAAGCCTTTTGGATGCTTGAGATTTGAGAGAAGATCTACATACCAAATATAAAAAAATGTAAGACTTGAGAAATGAGATGAGTCAATTGAATGATGAAGTCATAATAATAATTTCACCGATAGGAGGATAATAACTAGGTAAGATTGTGTATTTATTTATATTGGTTGTCTTAATAATTAAAAATAAATTATTTAAATAATAAGATTATTAATTTGTTTGAATAAGGCGTTGAAGATAAGAAAGAGGAAGAGGATGTGGTCATCAATAACCCTTGTTCTGCGAAAAAAAGATATGTCAGTTTCACTGAGGAAAGCATTTAAATTAGTTGCCATTACAATAAAATTGCATTCGAATTTTAAGTTGGCATATTTACTTTTTACTTTAACTGAGGAATCCTGTACTTTTTTAATACTTTATGTACTGTAAAACATTATTGTATTTCAAGAAAAGTTTATAATGCGTAGATAATTTAATAATGCTGTAATTGCATGGAAGAGAAAAACATGAATGGGAGAAAGAAGCATAAACCGACTTGTTATTATTATTATTATCGGGCACTTATGGGAGCTGCTACGTGCCCTCCTATTCCGACATGATATGACGTCACTCACCTGCAACCATTTCTCTATTTTCTTTATCATAATTAATATTATTAGTAAAATAATTACCCTTAATTTCATAATACTCTTTATCTCTATATTTCTTAAAATAATATTAATTATATTGATTTTTATAATAAAAATATGTTTACTTTTCTTTTAAATAATTTTTAGAGTGTAATACAATTTTGTTTTAAAAAAAGTATTAAAAAAATTTTGTAGATTCTATTTTAAAAAAATTGGTTTAAAATAGTTATTTTTAAAATTTTATTTTAGATCTTTTATCATTTTATTAAAAAAAATTAATATCAAACTTTCAAAAATATGTATTTAATTTTAAAATTATTTTAAATAATTTTTTATGAAAATTATTTTTGAGATACAATTTTTTCAAAAAAAAAAGTTATTTCATATGTTATAAGATGTCAAAATTAATTTTTGATTTAAAAAAACGAATATAAAAAATTTATAATATTTTAAAAAACAATTTTATAAAATCTATTTGTTTAACTAAACAAAATAAAAATTGAAACAAACAAACCTAAAATAAATTTTAGACCATATCGTTAATTGTTCGAAGTATTTACTAACATACTCTTAATAGAATATTTTAGGGGGGAAAATAATTTGAGAATAAAAAATGGTAAAAAAATTATTAAGCGAATTTAATTGATAATTATGTAAAAATATTAGATTTATTTTAATTTTATCGGATGTCTCCACATTCTCACTCCAATTTTATTGGATGTCTTTCAAATAGAGCGAGAATAATTTAGACCAATTTAAAATGATTTAACATCTTTATTAAAAATTAGTAAAGAACCCGTGCGTTCGCACGGTCCCACGGATCGCGCAAGTGCAATAATTTATTTTTAAAAAATTAAAATATAATATATTTTTTTGTTTATATATATATATATATATATATATATATATATATATATATATATATATATATATATATATATATATATATATATATATATATATATATATATATATATATATATATATATATATATATATATATATATATATATATATATATATATATATATATATATATATATATATATATATATATATATATATATATATATATATATATATATATATATATATATATATATATATATATATATATATATATATATATATATATATATATATATATATATATATATATATATATATATATATATATATATATATATATATATATATATATATATATATATATATATATATATATATATATATATATATATATATATATATATATATATATATATATATATATATATATATATATATGGTTGGATCAACGTACACAAATTTATTGTATAAGAGTTTTTTTTAATGTAATGGATGTTAAATGATCAATAAATGGGTTCAAAAAATTTCCACAAATAACTTTTTCCAGTTTGGATCTGACCTGATCAGAAGAAGATCACGGGCTGGCCACACGCTGTTGGACTGCTACCTGTTCACCTGTGATGAGGAGGAGAAAGGGGGTATCTGCAAAACACTCTGATGCCAAAGTAAGGAGTTGGGCAGAGTGAGAGCAAAGTACAGAAAATTGGTAAGAAGTGAATTACCTGACCCTCTTGAGGAAGAGGGTATTTATAGAGAGACTCCAGCGCTGGGCCAACGGTCACTTGTGTTAGGCTGGATTGCCAGACCCAACCCAGGTGACTGTTAGGGCTTACATGGCGTAGTGAAGACCAGGACGTGGTCTTCGCCCTAGTCCAACTGCTCCTTGATCTCCGGGAAGTGGGTTTGACCTGCTCTTTCGGAGGTGGGCAGTTGGTTGGTGACGTGTCCCCGCGGAGGGGAGCACGTGGAGAACGCGCACAGGCCACGTTGTTCTCCCCGCGGAGGGGAGCTCGCGAGGTTCATCGGAGCAGTGTCGTTCTCCCCGAGGAGGGGAGCACACGTGGACGTGGGAGAGCCATGGGCTCTTGCTCGGTGGGATGGGGAATACCGCCCGCGGAGTCTGTTCTGTCCGGCTAAGGGGAGCGCCGAGGACGCTTAGAAGCGCGTCGTCCTGCTTGACAGGGAGCGTATCCGGCCCGTCCGGCGGGGGGTGCGTGCCCGGTCAAGCTGCCTCACTTATTGGGCCTTGTCCGTTATTGGGCTGGGCCGCGAGGCCGGGCCCAGGCCAGAACAGGACATAATAAAGTAAAACATTATTAATTTATAGTAATATAATTTGCTTAATTTTTTTGTATACTATATTAAGGAAGTAATCATATATAATATATAATATATAATCCTATATAATATACAATATATAAGGAAGTAATCATATATAACATGAAAAGTTCATTTCTTGAATTTGGAACAATACTTAAAATGCTAATATATATATATATATATTTGGTACGAAAATTCGTCTGTTCCCTCCAAAATAATTGGCAATTACGTAACATGTGGATATGTGTAATATAGGGAAATAAAAAGTTTTTCATCAGCCTATGTATTAATATAGCCGTAAAACCTAAAGGGATTTCATTAGAGCATGTTTATCTATAGTTTTCCCAAGTTCCTACACATTTACCGATGTTGTTGTGTCAGAAGCATTTGGATATTTGATATTTTCCAACGTTCTCTCATTTGCAATGTGCATAAAGAAACACACGCTCCTACAATTTAAGTGGTTCATATTTATTATTTAAAAAATTCAATTTGTCATTTAAAGAAAATCAAGCAACGATAATATTTGGCAAAAAAAAATACAATAATAATTAATTTGATTTCAGGATATTGATTTCATTTTGGAATGATAAGATTGCAACAACAATAAAATAACGGTAATATTTATTATTAAAAAATTCATTTTGTCATTTAAAGAAAATCAAGCAACGATAATATTTGGAAAAAAAACTACAATAATAATTAATTTGATTTCAAGATATTGATTTCGTTTTGGAATGATAAGATTGTAACAACAATAAAATAACGGTAATATTTTTTAGTAGTATAAATAGGTAAGAAAAAATATTGTCAATGTAAGAAAAAAACAGCATTAAGAAAAAATATTGTCAATGTACAGAATGAATTTATAAAAATTGCAATTACATAATGATTTTTTTTTAAATATATGAATCCAAACAGAATATTGTACCTGGAATTAATTTAAAATTGTATTTTAGTAATCTTATAAGGGAATGAAATAAATTTGTTAGATTAAAAAAATAATAATATTATATTATTCAAATTTGGTTTCTATCTTTATTGAAAATTAGGATAGATATAGGTTTGATGTGATGTTAAAGTAGAGCATTAACGATGGTTACTTTTGAGAAAGTTTGCTTCAAATAAAAGCAAAAAATATTGAAGTGAAAGGTGTGGATATACTGATTTTTTAGGGTTGAAACACGTGTATTGGAAGTTGCATATATGTATCAATTATATTTAAAATGGTATAATATTGTCAGTGGTTTTGGAATATTTTGAGTTATTAGGTGGGTAAATGGGATTAATAATGATGATAATAAATATTAATAAATAACAATATTAATAATAATAATATCAATTTATTCAATTAAATAAAACTCTAATTTTCATCGAACCGTTTCATATTACTTCTCCCTCTTTTCATATTCTCGGTTTGACATCTCAGAAAGACCACTTAAAAAATCAGTATATTTATTATTAAAAAAATTCATTTTGTCATTTAAAGAAAATCAAGTAACGATACTATTTGGCAATCATACAGTGGGATTTAGTGGGGCCCATTTTCTTAGTCCACCTTAATTATTTACAATCATTTTCTTGTACAACTAAATGTATAAAGAATTGATATTCTTATTGATTTATTACAAATCATACATAGCATTAATTATCTTACGGCTGAATTATATTAATACTCCACTGACCTAGCCAATAGAAAGAAGGTAGTGGACATAATTATTCATTTCAACCCCAACTATATTTTGGCAAATAAATAATTTAAATATGTTGAGTTATAATACTATATATGATGACGTGAGATTGGTAAAAAGTATAGTTGCATGCTTAACTTAATCATTTCAAACAAACAATGTAGATTTTCCATTACCAATCAAAAGACAATTCATTGTATATGATAATTATACCTTGTTTTTTTATAAATCTTTAATTCAGTTGAATGCAAGATTCAAACATTGCTCCAACATTTCTGAACTACCTGCAATTTTAACATATGTATTAGACTTTGAAAAAAAATTGTAAAAAAATGTGTTTCTATGTGTTTTCTATAATTAGTTTTGAAGGATTTCATAATAAATTTTTATGTAATTGTT